AAGTATTGGTGCCATGTTATAGATTAAACTATCTAATCATTATGAAATCATGTTGTTCATCTGAACTTTGGTAAAACCTACAGAACTATATTTAAATTCTAGTGGAGATCCCAAAGTTTTCAAAGATTGAAATGTACAACGCATTTAGAATATTTCTATTTAAGAAAATGGTGGAGCCGTGACGCATAAACATGGGGTGCTCAGTAGCTTAGTGGGTAAAGCTGGCGTCTCATGCACAAAGGCAATGTCCTTGTCGCAGCGGCCACAGGTTCAGTTCCAGCCCACAGCCAACTTTTTTACAGCTTAAAGTTACAGTTTATTAGAATAACTTTGTCATATTTACTGAAACTGACACTCTGAAAGAAGTACATGAAACAGTCTGTGAGAAAAATCATATATCTCCTACTGCCTCTAATTGCATTCACTAGAATCAAACTGTGATGCACCGACCAATCAGAGTCAAGAAGTCTCTAACACAGTTGTCAATCATGTCAACCGCTTCATGAACTGTGGTCAAACTGTCAAACTAGGCAGCACTGATCAAATATGAATCAAAGTTCTGTTACTGCATTGGCTTTTCGTGACTTCAAATGTTTTCAGAAACATCTTTTAGTGTACTGTTTAGCTGTAAAATGAGAAATTCGGTCCAGCTTGCGGGTGGTGCTTTGTTTTCCCATTTAACTGTATCCAGCATTGCGGCCAGGTCACATTTACAGCTAATTGTACAAGTTACTAAATGTAGCTCGACATGTTCCTCAGGATCTGAGGCTCGCTTAATCAGTGACATTTTATAAATCACTTCTTAAAACATATCTGTTAAAAAAGCCTTTTATTAATTTCAGCACACTTTTTATTTTATATAGGTCTCATTTGATTATTTTTATTATTAGTATTTTCTTGTATTGTCATCAGTTATTGTATTCTGTTATTTTTGTATTATTCTAATTGTTATTAGTTGCCAACTTTGCTTTATCTGCTTCAGTGATGGTACTTTATCTTCATTTTATTTAATTCTTCTTTGTATTTCTTGAAATTGCCTCATTTTATTAGCTTGAATCCCACATTGTTTTAAATCCGAGAAGTGTAAAGCACTTTGTAACTTAGTTCTGAAAAGCGCTTTATAAATAAAATGTATTTATTACTTTTATGTTCTGTACACGTCATTTAAGGCCTTAATATAGCAGCAAACTATCTATTTGCTATGCAAAGATATAGTGGAGTAATGACATCCTGAGCAGAGAATGAAGTCACGCTCCCTCTGTGTTGTAGTCTGTGCTTCTGTGTCGTTGTGGTAGACCGGTCAGCTGAACGTGCATGTTAATGCATGTGAGTCCCAAGAAATGTGTCCCACTGGCTAACTAATTATTATAATTAACTGCTGCTCTGTGTTTATACAGTGTTTATAGGCAATGGCGTCTTTACCAAGGTGTAGCACCCCTCCAGTCAACACCATTAGCTCTGTTAGCACTGTTGCTGACATTAGCACTGTTAGCACCATTAGCTGCTAGCCACTGACTCAGCCACGTCCATGTTGAGAACTGTATGCAGACTTTCCCACCCCAGACTCTGAATCATCGATATTGTGCTTTTACTGAAGCTTTGAATGCAGGACATTAACTTGAAATCGCTAATATGTTCATGGTGAAATTGTGCTTTCATTTAACTTCTTTAACCCCTTCAGTATATAAACAAACATCAAGTTTTTAGATCAGCAAATATAAGTTTTCTTGAATTGGCTGCATCACTTATGTGTCACCTGAGTGAAGAACAATGAGCTGCATTTAGATACGTGAGAATATTATATCATTGTAGATTATAAATGAAATGCCGGTGCACTGGTTTGAGTGTCATTCTGCCTCTCCTCCTCTCTGACTTTGGTGAATACTGAGGTAATCTTGCTGATGTGTCTGACTGAGAGGAAACCGTCTGGGTCTCCTCTCCCTCTTTACTGACTGTTGTGTCAGCAGGCAGCGCCAAGCCTACCTTTTAAAAACCTGTTAGTGTCCTAATGGCCTGCCCAGAGGAATGATCACGCACACACACATGCACACACACACACACAACAGACCCCATAAACTCTCGACAGCAGCATCAATATATACAAGAGGACAAACCTAAATGCACATAAATAAATGCAAAAACACAGAGATTACCTCCTTAAGCATCACATAATTCCCAGATACCTGGTGTGTGTGCGTGTGTGTTTAGTGTGATGTGATGCTTGTCACCTGATCCACTCTCCTCCAACTGAAATGTAAATTTGACCTTCATCTGTTGTAACGATAGACACGACAGACTCTCACTTAAAGAAGAGTTACCGTAGAGAGTGAAAATAGATTTCAGATTTTATAATTGACAATTGATTTACATTTTTCTGGTGCACTGTAAGAAGTAGAGAGAGAAGCGGGGGGGAAGCTCCACCACCACCGCCTCACCACAAAGATATTGATCTCTCTCACTCTGGCCTCCCATCTGTGTCTCCTATCTCCAACCAAGTCAATGCATTAACACACACACACAAACACACACACACACACACACACACACACACCTCCATTCCCCATCTTATCTTGATGCATTAGTAATTGCTGAGTCATCAGTTATCCTCCTCTGACCTGCTAAACACAACCACGTTTATACACGCTATGTTCGCACGATCTGATTACATATTTCCTTATCTATGACAAACTGTTGCATCCCATCAATCATTAATGTTTGGAGACATACCATAATAATAATATTCAGGCTTATTCCTCACTTCAACACTGTCTTCAGTTCACAGAGAAAAAGGAAAAATACATGAAAGTAAAAGAAGGAGGAGGAGCTGAAGTGTGGGGAGGTGGAGGTGTTCCTGATATTTGATCTGTGTGTGCCAGCTTGTGTGTGTGTGTGTGTGTGTGTGTGTGTGTGTGTGCGTGTGTGTGGGTGTGCATGGCTGCCAACACTACACACATCTGACTTTAGCCCTCATCCATATACCGTAGGGGCTAAGGCACATGTCGGTTCCCCTTCTACCAGAGTTAGAAGATGATAGGTTGTTGGCTTGTAAGTATCATAGGCTACGTTCACGACATGCAAATGTGGCCCAAATCCCAATTCTTGCTGTCATGTGACACAGAATTCAGATTTTTTCCAGTCATATCTGAGCCACTTTCATATGTGGTCCTAAATCCGATACATATCCGATCACTGGCCATGCAACCACTGTGAGAACTGTGGTTTTTCCATGTTAAACTGACTTATCTACCGAGACATCACCCATTGGTTTTTGGACTCCTGTTTTGAAGCCTTGACTTCAACATTTCAGCCGTAGCCAACTTGTTTTCTTGAAGAACAGAAGTGACCATATTTGGACAAGAGGCTTGAGCTGTGGAGGAGCGAGTGATGGATCAGACTGAGAAGCTGAGGATGCTATCAGCAAACAACCTGTCACTCAACAGAGATATTGGAATGTAGCCCTGGACATCCTAAAGCTTTGGAGGGGCTGTTCCTCCGTGAAACCCTCCACCAATCCTAATGCCACCCACTCTCCACAGAACTACCAGCAATAGCTGCTGATCGAGCTCGTGGACTGAAAGCCTATTATCCCAAAATCTTTGTGTGTTTTCCCACCTGTTTTCTGTCACACCTGTCTCGTTAGTCCTTCCCTGTTCCCAGAGTCTTCCCTTCACCTGTTCTGTATTAGTCTTGTTTGCTCGACCCTAGTGTTCCCCTCCACACCCTTGTTGTCAGACAATCTCCATTTCCCTCCTTTTGCCCGTGTCTTCCCTACTCCAGCTGTGTCTCGTTCTTGTGATTAGTTTGTCAGTTGGTCATTGTCTGTGGTCATTCCTGCATCCTTGCCTGTATTCATCCCATGTTCTTTCTGCATTCATCCATGTGCTCATCCCTGTGTTCCTGGTGTCATTCCCTGCTCGTTGTCTGCCTAATGTTCTGTTTGGATTTTGGATTTGAGATCAAGGTTGGTTGTCAGTTTAGTTTTTGTTCTGCTTTCATTTAGACTTTGAGTTGCCTGCCTGTGCTGGATGTTTCTATTGACTACATTAAAGCTCACTTTTTGTTGAAATTTCAACCTGCCTGTTGGTTTGCATTTCGGTCCTCCATGAACTGACACGTGACACAAAGGGATGTTTTTTGGAAAATATGCTACACACTCTCCCAAACATAAGCGCATGGCTGATTATTATGCAGAAAGACGTCGTCGGACCTTCTTGGTTGCATGTCATGTGGTTCAGGGCAGAGATTCATTCAGTCTGATGTGAAATATGGGTCACATCAACCATGAATGTGAACAGTCTCTGCAGAAAGATTGGACCTGAGGAAATAAAGGAAGCTGAGCATTAAACACTGTAATGTGAATGTACCCATAGATGGATTACTGGGTACAGATCAGGCTGAGGACCAGAACATCTGTATGAAGCAACAGCTAACATATTTTGGTTGGAAAGTCAATCAAATGACTTAAAGGAAATGCAAAACAACAACAGAGACACAAAACAACCACAGAGATGAAGATGCAAAACAACCTTGAAGAGACACCAAACTGTCTCTATCACCCTTGGTGTCTTGCCCTCATGTAGAAAAGGTTGGAGACATTTCTTTGTGGCTGTAGTCTGTTTGGAGTTACAAATAACAGCTATTTATTGATATGATTTCATATAGTAATGTTTAAAGTTCTTTATATGGCATTCATATAATCATAATTTATTATTGCCAGGGCTTTAGATATTTAACCCCTCATTCAAACATCTCTTAACCCGGCCGTGACAAGGTGGATGTGGTGGAGAAATGAGGGACACTTTAGAGCAGGAAAGAAGGAGTCGAGCAGAGGGGGAGAGAAAGTCTGTGGTTGGCCAAAGTTATGGAATGACAGAGGGGATGTCGGGAGGAGGAGGAGGAGGAGGCAGAAAGCTCCAGGGCACGAAGGCGAATCAGATGGACAGACTGAGAAAAAGGAGGAGTGTGCTGGAGTAAGGAGAGACCACAAGGAGGACAGGATGGGTGGAGGGTTTAGGGTGGACTGGGCACTTCAGTTTTAAAACCTCAGCCGGAGTGAGCGCTGACTAAGTGAGTCGAGGGAGGAAAAGTTGCCACCCGAAGCAGCAACAGATAAATTGAGGAAGCTGCTGAGAGAGGGGAGTGATGGAAAAGTATGTGCGGAGGAGGTAGACACCGGGGGAGGAGGTTTCATTCCCCACAGCTCCTCTCAGGATTTCCCTCTCTGGACGTTGCTGCTGCTGCTGCTGCTCTAAGTGCCTTCTCTCCAGGGCCATACTCTTCCATATCTGGACCTGGATTTGGACAAACAGTGAAGTGGACTGAGTCAGACGGGACAGCATCGCCGAATCTAAATTTAACGGTTAAATTAAGTCTTTGCTGAAAGGTGATTGGTGGACCTCGGGATTACTGAAAGAAAAACTGGTTACTGTTACTTAAAACATTGCAAGTCCCATAAGTATTTATTTATTTTTTAAGTAGAGCCTTGTTTTCACTTTGCATGGTCTGCTTTAAAAGATTAGCTCACCCTGAATATTGTGAACGGATGCCGCTAAGACTAGAAACTCAGACTGTCCTTGGCTGGCAGATAAAGAGGATTCACAGTATGTTTTTGTGTGATTGTTGCTTGTGTGGTCGGCACATATAATGGGGTAATTAATTTATAATTGCTAATATTGTTTTGCCATTTTATGGCATGGAAGGAGAGAAGACTTGGGTATTTCATGTTCTGTATTTCAATAAGTCAGCTGAATTCATACAGACTTTCTCCGGTGCCAAACCATGTAAATGGACACCAAATTCTTTGCTTTTCCCAAAAGACATTTTCATCTAAAACCAAGATGTGATTCGTGAGTGTAAACTATGACGTGAGGACTGATTATAGCTCTGAGACTAAAGAGGGTGAGCAGTAACTTGTGTCTTTGCCAGTCTGAGCTCCTGAGAGAACGTGCAGGACGAAAGTCTGGAAAGTGACTCTAAACGTCTCCTTTAATGCACCATAATAAATGGCTCGTGACACAACCCCCATTTTCCCTCATGGGTCTAGAGAGGGAGGTTTTCCATATATGTCGGCTTCCACATATTTTCCACTTCAGCATCAGTGTTGACATTAGAGCAGCCTTCGTCCAGCCCGCTTGGCCTGGTTCTCAAGCTGTCTCCTGGGCCTGGGAACCAACCCATGCAGTCACCCACCAATCAGACTTGTTTCCTTTCCCTTGCTCACCTCTGTTGAAAACACTTGTTGTTGACTAACCCGGCCCAGCGTTACTCAGGCAAGCCCCAGGCCTTCTCGTGCAGGCTTGGCCCTGAGTGGGCCCCCCCCCCCTGTCCTGACGCCATGGGGATCCAGGGTATGGAGTTGTTTGCCATCGGCGTGGTTATCATCCTTTTCATGGCAGTTCTCAAGCAGTTTGGCATCTTGGAGCCCATGTCCTCATTTGAAGGTAAGGGCCCACCTGAGGCCCCTTTACTAGCCGTACTCACGATGACTCACCACTTCACTGTACCGTATAAGCATTAGGGCTGCAACTAACTATTATTTTCAGTATAAATTAATCAGTCAGTTATTTTCCACATTAACTGATATTTGTTTTGTCTATAAAATGTCAGAAAATAGTAAAAGTGTCGATCAGTGCTTTCTAAAGCCCAAAATGACGTCCTCAAATGTTTTGTTTCGTCCACAATCCAAAGATATTCAGTTTCTGGGCATAGAGGAGTGAATAAAACAGAAAATACTTACATTTAAGAAGCTGGAATCAGAGAATTTATTAATTATCAAATTAGGTGGCAATTAATTTAATAGTCAACGAATAATTGATTAATCATTGCAGCTCTAATAAGCACCATGTAAACATTTAATTAATGGTTTATAACACACTATAACGTAGTTATAGGCAGGTTGTTGTTAAGAGTTTATTAATATTATTAATAATTAAGTCTGCAGTGAAGACTCATTTTATATTATGACAACTGAGTTTAACTATCTTGTCATTCATGATCTTTTAATAAACAAGTCTCCACAGGATGAGTTATAGTTATTGACAAATACATTAATAAACACTCGTAACTAGATTATAGAGTGTTACAAACCATCTTTTAAATGTTTTTGTACTGATATACTGTTTATAAATGGTAACTAGGGAAGTAAAATGAATGTAAAGTGATAACCTTTAAGTTTTATCTATTAAACCCTGGTGTTACATGTCTTTAAACATTTTGGTAAGAAACCTAATGTTGCTGTTTTTCCAAAATTTAATGATAAACTGAAGGACAAAGTGTTCTGTCTTCTACTTTATAAGCTACATAAACTGCTTAAAAACACAGGATTATCTGAAAGAAGCACTGTCACAAAGCTAAAACAAACAAACAATGCTGTAACACTGCTTATTTTAGTGGGTTTTTATTATTATTATTATTATTATTATTTATAGATTTATTTTATTTTATTTTATTTTGTATTTTTTTTAAGTCAATTTAAGCCCAGGTTCTTGTTTGGATAAACCCTGTCATAGGAGAGACCTCCTCCAGTAATATTTATGAGTTGTTTCCTTAAGTTTTACACTTCTAACTGTTGTTATTATCCATGAGGCAATAACACCTGAGTATAACTGTGCTCAGATTAAATTAAATAAGTTCCCATACTGCCACCAAGTTTTGTGAACTTTTTAAGAAGCATAAACATGTTGCTTACATGTTATTGCATCAGTGATAAAAAAAAAAAAAAGTATAAATATAATCTTATCTAATTGATCTAACATGTGGACAGGAGCCATTATGTTGTACTGGTACTTCCATATGCACTTTTTTATAAGTAATATTCAGAGTATTTTTATATTGTATTACTGATAGTTTTACTCAGGCAAAGGATCAGAATACTTCTACGACTGTGACCAAGTCATTATTCTTCCACATTGCTTTCTATACTAGTGGTAAAGTAACATGAATCTTATTTATATTACACTGCCTGGGTCGTACGTCACAAAGAGCTTCACACTAGAAGACAAGAGGGAGTCATAAAATACAGACACAATATAGGAGTTATAAATAAAACAGAGATGGGGCTTCCTAGTTTAAATGTTTTAATGGCTAATTTAATACCTGGCCAGAGGTAAACATCTGAAAACCAGCCTTTCACACTGTCTCTGTAAAAAAGAATTAAATAAATAAATGAAGAGTGACTGAGGGGTTTATGAAGCTGACCATCAGTGTTGTTATCTCTCCCGGCCCTGTCCCCTCATTCCCTGTCAGCTTTCTGCTATGTCATAAAGCGAAATTAAACAACACTGCGTTATACTAATGCTACAGTAGCATGCATTATTTTTTATTTTATATTTAAAAGTTCTGGACCATCAGCAAATCTATAAGCAGCATCAGACTGGGAAAAGGTTAATGGGTTAATGTTTTATTTTGCCTACTAAGAGATATACCATAAAACCTTGATGGGCTAATAGATTGTGTACATTTGGGACAGTAAAAGAGACATCAGACGCTGCTCTTTGAACAATGCCGTTCCCTTTGATTAGAGTTTTGGGCCGAGGGCCAGCCAGTCAGAGTGCCCCGCAGTCAGTGTGCCAAGACAATTACAGCAGGAAGGCTCCAGTCGGCACATTAGTGCTTCTCATATGGCTCTGCATCATAAGTAATAAATTCAACAAAAACACCAGTAATGTCCTTTCATAATTTATACCTTCTCTCAATCCCCTCTAATCTTAAATTCCCCAACCCCCCCTTCCTCCTCCTCCTCCACCCGCTCCCACTGTGGCAGGGCCTACACCCTGGTTTAGCATTACTTCACATCAATTATACATGCAGTATCGAACAGGCTTTCTCTGAGACTGCCTAAATATGGAGCCCGGAGCACTCCTCCAGGACCCTGAAGGACACTGGCCATCCCTCAGCAGCCTCCGAAATTCTCATCATGCATCTTCAATCCTGACTCCTGCCACTTCATTACTCCATCACCTCCCAGTGAGACTAATTTACCAACTGCAGCATCATTATCTCATCTGCTTCAGAAGCTTCTCGTCAACATGTTGAACTATTTGGCAGCAGATATTTTACAACTTTTGTCTCTCCAAATGTTCACCTGCTCTCATGTGAAAACAAGTGATAGGTTAGTCATGAGGCTGTCATACTTTTCAGGATTCACAAGTCCAGATGTTGAGCGCTTATTTGATCGGGCTTGGTTAAAAATAGAATCTAAATGCAGCCCTGCTGCGAGTATCAGCTTTTTGATGATCACTGTTGTTATTGAGACTCTCTCTGAGGTGCTGATTCAGCTCTGCAGTCATTCATGAGCCATTTTGTGAGGTTTCTTGCCTGATAAATCTTAACCAAATGATACATAAGTAACTCAAGGCTGTTGCTCCCCCCCCAGGACACTGAGGTCATGTCCTCAGAAATAGTCTCTAGGAATTTAAGAAGTTTGATGACATTAATGAATCATTGGGCACCTCCCCACTAACCCATGTCTATGACGATTTTCACTACTAATAACGATAAATAAAACTTTTCCTTTCTCTTTAAATTGCTTTTTCTGTCTGATAAGATGCCCAAAACACAGATATATTAATTCCAAGTCTCACAATTAAGAATAACATTGTTAAAATTAGTTAATCAGTTGACTTATTATCAACATAGTTTTCAATTAGTTCACAGTCAATTGACTAATGGACTTATCGACTTAATAGTTATTTGATTAACTGACTCACTGTTTAACTTCTATCTACAGTTACACATGTGCTGTAAAACTTCAATTAAATGCCCAGTCACTTTTACTGGCCCATTTTTTTATAGACGTTCTTTTAAAGTATGAAAGCAGGTTGTTGGCTACCTCAAATTATGTGTCCATTCCTCAACTACAGTGTAATTCATATTCCTTAAGTCCATAAGGGTCCTCAGATCAAAGGAATCAAAAGGGTTTTTCATAAAAATGTATTCAAGTTGTGAGTATTATTTTAACAGGATAAAGTGGTGTTGTGTCAGTATGACGGGCACTGTAATCGGCAAGTGCTGTAATACACTCTCTCTTTGATGCACTGTCTATTGGAGCTAGATCAAATGAATGATTCATAACTGACTTATTATCTGAAGTAAAATTCATACTGGTTTAAAAAAACAATTTGATTGTATTTCCCATCTTTGCTGCGCAACAGTTTTGTGTGAAAGGAATTAAAGGCCTGTCCCAAATATAGGCCTGTTGACTTCAGTGATTTAAGTAAGGGATAATGTATAGTGAGACGGTGACTGTTGAAAAATAACTCCCGACAGGGGAATGGAACCCTGACGTGCAGCGGAGGGGTTCCATTCCCCTGTCGGGAGTTATGACTTATGGTGCGTTCCAGGCAGGCTTTTGAACTCGTAAGTCACGACTTCAAGTCACGAGTTACGACTTTGTAGCGTTCCAGGAAAGTTACGGCAAACTGCCAGTTACTTCCTGTTTAATGTTGAACATGGCGAACTGTTTGTTTGTGTTTCCCCATTATTGCTATCGCCAAAGATACCTGCTCCTTGCTCATTTGAGTGAAACGGAGGAGGATAGGGTCACAGATGCTATTATAGGCTATTTTTTACGTTATCTGTGTGTTTGGAAACGTATTTTGTATTGATTTATTCTTGCACTAGAAACCAGCTGTTAGAGCGGCTGCCAATAATGTGTTAACATTAGGGTTATTTTATGTCTATTTCTCACAGTGTATCACCTGCATCAACACCGCATCCATAGGGCTGCCATTGTTGTTTAGAGGAGTAAGGTAATTGGTTTAGAGGGTTGTGTGACGTCAGAAAGCTTAACTGGGAGTACATCGATCTGGTACGAGTTCATGGGTGGGAAGTTACGGGTTTGACTGCCGTTCCAGTGCACTTTCACAGGTTACAGGTTGTGAAAACACGAGTTACGGGTTGCCTGGAACACACCATTACTACTAAAACATTCAGTGATGTGACACAAAATAATGATTAAAGCACGTTCTATTGATTCAAAATTCGCAAAAAAATGTGTCTGTATTCTGTATCCATGGCAACGGCAGCCTAAATTCTAAATGCTGCATTTTGCCACTCAGATCCTATTTGGCCTGTGTGGACTAACGTTAACTGATTTTGATGCTCCTCAGTCTAAGGCCGTTGCTATGGCGTCCCTAGCAACGGAGCAGCAGAGCAGCAGTGATACCTCAAGAAATAAACACTGCAATTTTGTTGATTGACCAATCAGAATCAAGTATTTAAGAGTGCCATGTTCTAAAGAAATAATAGTGTGGGTTATTAATTGAAGTTTTACGGTATATACACATTTCTTTCGGTTGATTGTGATATTCTTTAGACTAAGTATCTTAAATGTAAGTTTTTACGAAAGAAATAATTAAATAAAAGGGATTTAGAATTGCATTTATACCTTTAACGCCTTTGTAGAGAGAATAACTATGCTATACTTCAATGTATTAAGGTA